CCAAGGCAGGGAGTAGGCTCACCCAGTCATGAGTATATCCATCATTATTTTTGAACTCAAATCCAAATGAACAGAATCTCCTGAGCATGTCCTCTAGGGTTTGTATCATCCTTTCAGCTAAGCCATCAGTCTGTGGGTGGTAAGCTGTGGAGAAAGCTAATTTAGTGCCTAACATATCATGTAAGTTTCTCCAGAATTCAGACGTGAATTTGGGGTCTCTGTCACTAATGATTATTTTGGGAATGCCTACGTCAGCCATTAGTCTATTCCAGAATAACATAGCTACTTCCATTGCTGTGTCATCTTTATGATTAGGAATAAATTTTGCCCTCTTGGAAAATCTATCAACTATGACTAGTACTGAGTTGTAGGAGTAGGATCCTCCAGGGGGTAATCCGGTAACAAAGTCCATGTTAATGATTTCCCATTTGTCCGTGGGTTCAGCAATTTTCTGAAGTAGGCCAAATCTCTTGCCTGTCTGTTTGTTTGCTTTCTGACAGGTGTCACATGACTTAATGTACTCATGTACTTGTGTTTTCCAGTCAATCCACCAGGCATTTTGTTTAACTCTTTCTAATGTTCTTTCTTCTGAAAAGTGGCCACAATTTACATTAGAGCATCTCCAGCAGAGCCGGGGTCAGTTTGTGTCCGAATAGCGGCCTGCAACCACATTTCACACCCCTGTCTCAGCCCTGTCACACTGCTCCCACAGCAGACTGGCAATAGGTAGCAGGGGGCGGTTGGCCAAGTCGCCAAGCTCTGGCCGCCCCCTGCCAAAGCGGCTATTGCCTTGGGTTTCTAGCCGGGGGCAAGGTGGGGGGCGATCAGTTGCGGGTCTGGTTGCGGCTCTGCTGGACCCCGAAATTCTCCCGCGAGCCGCTGATTTGGGCTGAAAATCGCCCAGTCGCGGCTCTGCTGGAGATGCTCTTATCATGACATTCCTGTAGAATATTTTTTATTTGTCCTTCATCACATAAGACAAGTACACTTGAGTGTTTGTGCCTGTAATACAACAAACCATCAAATAGCGTGAATTTGCCTAATTTATAATGTTTGGACAAAACAGGTGGTAAACTAGCTGCTAGTTCTGGGGGACTACTGTCATTTCTCAATATTTCTACTAATTTTAGTAATTCACTATTTTGGTCATAACTTCTCTGAACTAATTCATAAAAAGCATTTTCCATGTCACATACGTGAATTCCCAAAATAGGAAATATATCTTCATCCTCAGGATCATATGCTGGGTTATCAGGGGTATTAGGGAGTGCCCATCTGCTTAATCCATCAGCATTCATGTGTTTCTTGCCAGCTTTATGGATTATGGTCATATGCCCTCTATACTGCTGAATAGCAATCTGCCATCTTAACATGTGCCTGTTGGGAGTTTTCATATTCATTAAAGTTTTAACTGCGGTACAATCAGTGATAACTACAAAGTTAGAACCTTCTAAGTAGTAATGTAATTTGTCCAGAGCCCATACTAAAGCTAAGCATTCCATTTGGCTAGCTCCATATTTCCTCTCAGATTCTTTAATTTGTCTGGATATGAAAAGAACTGGTTTTTCCATAGGTTTGTCATCTACAATAAATTCTTGATGAAGAGCAGCTCCAAGCCCATCTAAACAAGCGTCAATATACAGTATAAATGGTTTGTCATAATCTGGGTTGGGCTAGGACTGGTGCAGAAGTGAGTAATCTTTTTAATTCTTCATAATTTTTGACTCTTTCCCAGGTCATCTCATAAATGGTGTCATCTTTACACAGTGCGTATAAATTCTTGCTTACTATGGCAAATTGAGGAATATGTTGCCTGTAGTAACTACAAAAGCCTAGGAATGACATCATTTCTTTCAAGTTATGAGGGAGAGCTTTGTTCATTACGGCAGCCACTTTGTTTTGATCTACAGCTAAAGTTAGGCCAGATACTATCCTACCTAGAGCTTTGAGTTCTCCATAACCAAAGTTGCACTTTTTAATGGACATTTTTAAACCAGTTTTGATGGCGGTACTCAGCACTAGATTTATTTTCTCTAAGTGGGTTTCCCAATCATTTGAATATATAATTATATCATCTATGTAGACCATCATCCAGTCTTGTCTGATAAAGGCACCAAAAATTGAGTCCATCATTCTCTGAAAATGGGAAGGGGCATTTTTGATTCCAAATGGCATTCTCAAATATTCATATATTCCCAAATGACAAATTATTCTCAAAAATTGTCTGCTGTCAGGATCAATGGGTATTTGATGAAAACCTTTAAGAACATCCATAGTTGTAATATATTTGGCTTTGGATAAATTATGCAAGGAGTGATCAATACGTGGGATTGGGTAATAATCAGGTCTAGTGTAATTATTCAGAGCCCTGAAATCCCCAACCATTCTTGACTTCTCATTATGCCAAGCAATGATTACTGGGGTAGTAATTTCTACTTGTTCATTGTGTCCAACCTTTCTCAGCACGCCTAATTCCATTAGCTCTTTAATGTGAGTTTCTAAAGCTTCTCTTGATTTAGGACTGGAAGGATAAGGGGGTCTTCTCAAGATGGGAGGATAAGGTTCTTTAACAGTTAATTCCAACTTCATGTCATGCCCTTTTATGTTACCAATAGGTTCTTCAGTAGTACAAAAGGATTCTTTATTCACAAAGCAAGTTTTAAGCACATCTAATTTCTGTTGCTCATCTAGAATATCACTAACAGCTGCTTGAGACAGATATTCAGCTTTGAAGGACATCATTTCTTCCGTCATTTCATCTGGTACATCAGGGAGTTTGATATTCACATTGCAAATTTGAAATTTCCTTTTCCAATCTCCCCCAATAGTATAGAATCTGTTTTTACTTTGGAATATGTCAATTCCATACATGCAAAAAGTGTCATTTCCTAGGATCAAATAATCACAAATGGCATCTTGAAGGACTACAAATTCTATGGACAGTCTTAAAGATCCTTTGGAGTGCGGAAAGATTAATGGCATTACTACAATTCCTAAGGGTTTCATTGAAGAATTACAACTACTAAATTTTGCTTTGGGAACAGGCAGCAAATTATTTTTCCATTCAGGGTGTATTTCATCTAAGAAGTTGCTACTGGTACATGAGCAAAAGGCTCCAATATCTAATAAAGCTTTTACTGGTTTGTCTTCCAATAAAACAGAAGTGTAACTAGTTTTTCCCATAGTGTAACTCATTCCTTTTTCTGGTTTATTAGTGAGCAATTTAGCATCAGAAACATGACCAATTTTCATTGAGGAGTCCCACTTCTGCGGTAAATTAGAATCTCCTTGAATTGTATTGATATGTAATTCATCACCAATATCAGCTTGGATTACCACAATTCTATGAGACTCCTCTTCTCCTGATTCAGTAGTTATGACATCAAATTGAGATCCAGAGTCATATTCACCGTCAGTTTCCTCATATACCTCTACATTGTTAATCTTTTTGCGGGGATTAGGACAATCAGGTCTTTTGTGGCCCTTTTCTCCACAATTATAACACTCAGGTATGCTTGCTTTCCTTATGGGAGCCTCAGCTGCGGGAGTTTTTTCTTTGACGTTGTCTGGCTTGATGAATTCTCTTTTTTCAGGTATATTACTTCTGACATATTTTTTATTTAAGCCATTCATAATCACCACTTCCTCTAATACTCCTACAAACTCTGTTAGATCAACATCCATATCTTTCAGCCTACATCTGACTAGGTGTTCTATGGTTCCTTTGCATTGAGTTAATAACCTGTCATTTATTTCTTCTGCTGTGGGATTATTGTAAATGCATTCAATCCTTTTCTTTTGGAGTAAGCACCATTCCCCAACAGAATGCTTAACTGGGTCAAAATAGTCACTTTCAAAGGCTATTCTTTTAGCAGTCTTCCACACTCTAGTGCTAAATCTGGCAATAATTAATTCTTTCCAGGTGGCCCAACTTTGTAATCCTATAGATTGGCTTTTGGTAACAAACCAATCACCTGCTATTCCTTTCATTATCCTAGGGAGCTTGGAGGTAATCATATCATCCGGGGCCATGTAAGTTCTCAACAAATAATCTATATATTTAATGAAACTGATGTGGTCATATTCATCTTTTCCGTCAAACTCTGGCCAATCTTTTATTGGAGGCATGTATTTATTCAAATTAGCCAGCTCAGCCGCAGTATAAGGTGTGGAATTCCTTACAAAATCTATTTCCTCATTTGATTTTCTTGGTATTCTGGGATCAGAATTAAGAGAATGAGGAGAACAGCTTTTAACCTGAGGAGTATTTGAATGCATGAAGGGATTATTATATTTAGGTTCTTCTAAAAAACTATTCTCAATCGGGTTATGAGTATTAGTCTGATGCGGAGGCATATCCTTATTATGTTGGCGATGAGGGAAAGAGGGGACTTGATCTTTTTCTTCCTTTTTAGATGGTACGTTCTCAACAAAATTATATGAGTTACTCTGGTTATCGGGCTTATCTTGTTTGATCGCAGACAGCTCTTCTTTGATTGAAAGGACCTGTTCTTTTATCAAGTTACTCAGGATATCGATCTTCTTATCGGTATCAGCACTTTTCTGTAGCAATAAGTTTTTTAGCTCATTTGTTTTTCTCTCGAATTTTGCGTTCTCAACAATAGCGTCTTGTCTTATAGAAGAGAGAATGTAATCCGCTTGAGCAGTACTCTGCGCAGCTGAGTTTCTGGCGAATTGTACTATCTCCTTAGTAGTCTCTTTACAGTCTTTCGACGTTTCTCTAAGATACTCAACATCTTTCTGGATGACTGTCAATTGCTCACTATTCTTAGGCGTCATCTCAATAGGCAAAGGTTTGTTTAGTTGTTGGATTATCTTAACACAAACTACTTCTATATTTTCTTTCATTTTATTGGTAGTAGTCTCTAAACTATGTACAATACTAGCAAAATTGCTTTCGCTATTGGAATCTAAAGTAGAAATATTAAAATTTAGAGCCTCTAAAGAATCTAAGATAGCTATAGCAACTTTAGGGTCCGCTACATATTCTGGTACAGACCGGATGCCATCTGAAGGAGATCGGTAACCTTCTTCCACTTGACTGGATCGGAGAAGTTTGTTGAGGTGGAGCTTTGCTTCTTGCCGTTTTCGCCTTTCTTGAACTTCATTAGATTCTTCTTTGGCGGAGCCGGGAAGTGTATTTTCTTTTCTTCCCAAGGGTTCCAACCCTTCACATAACTCTCGATTTCCTCGTTGTCGATGAGTTTCTGAAGAGCCTTCTGACTCTCCTGAGCGGTAGTCAGTAAGGCTCGTAGTTTTGCGGTAGGTCCCTCTCGAGTGGCTACTTGACATTGCCTCCAGAGCGATACGTGCTCTTTGACCCGGAGTTTGATCTGGTCGTCCTTGGAAAGGATCCTTATCTCCGGAGTGGAAGGGCGTGTCGGGGTAGCTTCCGATGACGTAGGGTCGATCTCGTCTACTTCCATAGGAATGTCCTTCTCCGTGATCGGAGGCTGCTCTCCTCTCAAATTCTCTTTGTTTAGAGAAGTTGCCGGAATCACTTTGCGGGTTATGGTCGTCATCTTGAGGTTTTCGACCCGATCCCGTAGCTCCTTTGCCGCCACGAGGTCTCGTTGGAGCTGGGAGGGGGCTTCGGAGTTCTGGTTTGTTTGACCTAGTGATTTTTGTCATCTCGTTAGCTATCTATAATTATTTTTAGATTTTGATAGGATGTGATAAAAAATGTACTGACTCTGGGTAGTATGATCGCTATCGCCGTTATCAGTATCAATAGAAGGAGTGGGACTCGCTCTTTCTTGTCGGATAACTCCAGTCTCAAAGGTAGACACTAAAAGATTGGAAGAGATGAGAGTAAGTATTTTTTATTATTATTTCTTTGTAGATGGGAGGGGGAGACAAAAGAACGGAAAGATAATTTGGGAATCTAACTTTTTTCAAGGTATCTTTTACCACGAAGCTGTTGGTTTTTCTCACGAATGTCTCTGAGAAAACGTCGGAATTGGATTTGCTGATCCAAGTCTTTCTCTTGGTGTACGTGAGCGTGATAAGTCACAAGAAGAAGCTGTTCTTCGTCGGATAATTTTTCCCAAGGAGTCGGAATGTAGTTCCGATCTGATTCTTCTTTTCTCAACCTAAGGTGGACAAGATATCGCTGAATCAATTCGGCGTTCTCTTGGAGATTCACTAGAAGAAAAAGGATGAAAAAGTATGATTTGTTTTTTAGGAGTTTTTATTCGAGATAAAAAATTGTAGAGAAGTGATAGAAAGTTTTGAGATGTATAATTTTTATGGGTTTGGTTTTTCGTAAAAATAAAAAAATTGTATATAATTTTTTCTGGCTTTTATTTTTTCCTGGAGTAATGAAAAAGATGACCGTAAAAAAATGATAATTTTTTATGGGTTTGATTTAATTTTTGTGAGAAAAAATTAAGAATAAATTCCAGGTGGCTTATTTTATTAAAAAGGTGATGTTTAATAAAAATCTTCCCGGCCAGACCCCCAATTGTCAGCCTATGTGATGCCAAGACAAGTGTCTTCTAGCTACACAAGGTGCAAAAACTAAGAGTTTTTATGGTAAAAACTCAGGGACAAAACTGGTATAAGTAATTCAGAAGAATTACGTGAAATTTATGGATTAAATCCAAAAAGTGGCCAATTTATATTAATAAAATTAATATAAATAAAACCAGAGGGGCCTGATAAATCAGGGGTGGTTTAATCCCTCTAAGGTATCGTGCAAAAAGCAGAGGATTTAGGTACCTGGAACACTGGGGCCTGTGAACAGGTGTGGTTTAAATCCCAGGAAGAATTTAAGGGGAAAATCTCAAGAAAAGGGTTATTACTTACTAGTAATAATCCTATGGGGTCTTGAGGATCTTCAATGTGGAAACTGGACAGTTGGGAGCGCTCAGAAGGGTTGATTTTGGGTGCTGGGTGGTAACTGTTGAGTTTCTTGAGGAATTTTGAGGCTTTAATAACAGCAATAATAGTAGTAACTAGGCTAATTACAAGTGTAGGGGACTTGTAAATGGTAAGTATGTTTCTATATGGTATTGTAAAGCTGGGGAATCATTATTTGGGCGGTCAGAAGGCCCTTTAAGTACCTGTGGAAGGCCTCAGGGGTTGCCCAGGGGAGCTTAGTAGGACTTGGGGGCGCTTTTTGGCCCATTTTGGCCCACATGGTGATGTAACCAGGGCTGGAACCTTGGGGATAATATTCCAGAAGCTCCAAGGGGTCATGCACGAAATTATTACAGCTAAGAATGTCCCATGGGAACCTGTAGATAGGGGTTACTCTGTTACGTGGAGCAGGTTCCTTGGAAATGGGCCACAGAATATTCCAGAGGTGTCTTCTGAGGCTTGCTACACGTGTTACCCAGTGGAATATGGTTACTGTAGTATTTTCATGGTTATTCTAGCTTGTTTACATTTTTATTACACGTGTGGGGGCTTTGTTGTCACGTGCAATGGGGATTCTGGGGCTTTTGTGGCCCAATCCTTGGATACTGGTGCGCAGCATGACTACGTGGCGCGTGGGCTTGGAGACAGGACTCCACACTGCTCTATCTTCTAAACCGTGCACAATACTCCAATTCTGAGACTGAATTTGGAGTATATGCATTATGCATTATGCAGAAGAGTCACAGTACCCGTGATCTGGGGGTACCTGTTAATTATTCTTGCATGTATTACAAGGTGAAGGAGTTAGAATTTGGGGTACCTTTGGCTGAGGTACCCTAGGTTAAATTGTATGCTGATTCAGAATTTGCAATAATATTTAAGGTTTTGTTTATACTTTTTAAGTTATTCATTTATTTTTATGTATTTTTTAACTTAAAGTACTAATGGTTTCTTTTACTTATGTAATATTTTCACTTTATACTTAGATTTTTTATGTAATTTATTATTATATTTGCTATGACAGGTTGTCTCTGCCATAGTAGCAAGCTGACACTAGTTTTGTTGTAATCTACAGCTAATTTCACGCATTCTGCTGCATATTTTTCAGCTTTGGTCATCATAAAATGAAAATCTGAGGCACTTGGGTGTATATGTACTGCTTTTGACATTAAAATTTCTTTGGGAAACCAAGGAGTCCAACCTCTTTCCAATTCATAAGGTGTTTTATTTGTTGTACTGTGTTTGCTAGAATTGTAAGCATATTCAAGTGCAGGTAATAATGAACACCAATCATGAGTATAGTTGTCTTTATCCTTAAATGTCATTCCATAGGCACAATATCTTCTGATCATGTCTTCCAAAGTTTGAATCATTCTTTCAGCTAGTCCATCTGTTTGAGGGTGATAAGCTGTGGAAAATTTTAGTTGTGTCCCACATAAATCATATAAATTTCTCCAAAATTCTGACGTAAATTTAGGGTCTCTATCTGTAATGATATATCTGGGACAACCAACATCATAAATAATTGAATTCCAAAATAATAAGGCAGTATCCATTGCTGTATCTTCTTTATGACACGGTAGAAATCTGGCTCTTTTGGAAAATCTATCAACTACTACTAAAATTGCATTAAAATTATTGGGTCCTCCGGGTGGTAAGCCAGTAACAAAATCCATGTTAATAACAGACCATCTTTCTTTGGGTTCTTCAATTTCTTGCAATAATCCATACCTTTTTCCTGTAGCTTTATTTGCTTTTTGGCATCTATCACAAGATTCACAATATTCTTTGGTATCATTTCTAAAATTGGGCCACCAAGCAATTTGTTTAACTCTCTCAATTGTTCTGTCAAAGGAAAAATGAGCTGAGGATATATTGTCGTGACATTCTTTCAAAAACAAATTAATGTGTTCTTTTAAACAAATAACTACTACACTTGTATGTGTAATTCTGTGGTAAATTAATCCATCTAATAGAGAGAATCTATTTTCTTTGAATGAGCTAAGCCATGGTTCTTCTAAGGAATTGATCAGATCATTATTTTTGAAATTACTTTGTAATATATTTTTTATTGTGGAGCAATTCTTATTTTGGTCATAACTAATTCTAATTTCATCCCAAAATTCTTCTTGCATTTCAGCTACGTGTAACCCACAAATATTAATATCATCAAAGGCAGGATTATTTTCATTATTTTCCTCTGGGAATAAACACATAATTTTTGCAGCAATTTCTCCGTCCCATAACTGGGTTATCTGGTATATTTTCCAAAGACCATCTACTAAGTCCATC